TCAAGCTACCACTGTCTGTTTGACACTAGACGCACCGAACTTGTTTGATGTTTTAGTTGAGAGACTCATAAATACGTGCGCGTGCGGTGAAATAGAAGGTTTTCGTTTTTCTAACCCATGATTAATAATTTAGATTTCGGTTTTTGAATAATAGCTCCTCCAGGAACCCGGCTTTGTATTTTTATTCGCTGTTTCTTTGTTGAATTTGATTGCATCGTCTTTTTGAAGTGCTTTTCCACAACCACCGGTTTATTATTCAGGTAAGTTATGATTGTGGTGTTTTATTTATCAAATAGTTAACTTTAAGTTAACTCAAATGTTTAAATATTTTTGTCCTTTATTACTCACTGCCTAAGCAAAGTTTTTTATAGATTTTACGTGAAATTACGATGCAGTAAATTATTTGTCGTTTCAGTTTTTCTATAATGACGTCCAGGCAAGTATTTAGCGAAAGCGAGAAGACTTGCCTACAAGAATTAATTTTAAAATATAATCTGCACAAAACTGCGACCATGACAGCTAGTCAAAACACAAAAAAACTTTTGTGGGTACATTTAACAGAAGAATTCAATTCAATTGAATCAAATGCAAAGGTAGATATTTATTTATATTACTTGTATCTGATTTTTACTTGTCTATATATACCATGCTATTCTTATTTATCATTTGTTTTAGCGAAGTGAGGCCCAGCTCAAGAAGTGCTGGGATAATTTAAAAACACGGAGGAAGCACTTTTTAGCTAATGAAAAGCGTCAGAGAATGAAGACTGGTGGCGGACAGTGTATTCCAAATGAGCCACAGCCTGGTAGCAGCAATGAGACCCTTATTTTTGCTGAGGTTCTACTGGATCAGACTGATGTGGAACTCAGGGGTGTCATTGACAGTGATACCATTTACAGTTCTGAAGGTAAGTGAATCTTAAAAATTTGAGATAAGCGCTTCAATCTCACATGCTCTCTCACAAAAAACAGTAAGAACGTGGTGGCATGGAGGGTCTTTTGATTATTGTTATATATCTATATGAGTTGAACTACATGTATTACTGTGCTAAAAACTAGATAAATAACATGCGTGACAATACCTGATAAGATTTTCACTCAAGAAACCATTTTAATAATCATAATGAATATACCACATTCTGATTAAGAACAATATTACTTTAAAATTCTTTCTTTCCTCTACTCCAACTATCACTTTTATTCTACCATACATAATTAAAGATTTTATTGTTTTATTTCTAGATATTGCAATGGAGCTTGAAACATCAGTTCCAGCAGCAGCGCAACCACAACAGAATGATGAAGTTCTGAGTGTAAGCTGTGCAAGATCATCAGCTGAAGAATGTATGTATATTTTTAGTCTTACTTTTCTCTCACATTTATAGCCCATCTTTTTGCCTGTTTTTCTTAATTATCTATATTAATTAGTTAGGGTAAAGCAGTTTGATGAAAATCAAAATATTGGCACAGTTGGAAAATTAAAATGCATATCTTTTTACAGACCAAAGTGTGAACACTCATATGCATCTTATGGGGTCCCATCTTACAGTTTGTGGTGGAGCTTCATCACAAGGTAAATATTCTTTAAATAAAGTTTATAATATAAATTATCTAAATGAGTGCAGGTTTCTTAAAACACATTTGTACAAATAAATATTTCTATTGATTATAATGAAACAGTAACCATGTGATGACAAAATACTTTATGAACCCAACATGTGCAAGAGCTAATAAAAAAACCTTGATACAATTTTTTATAATTGATAGCTATTCAAATTTTTAACAAAAAGTAGGTAAAGTAATTAGGGTTTCTTTATGCATACTTAGAAACATAAAACGCCTTCTTTGTTACAAAATGGTAACCTTTTTTTTTGCTTCTCTGGGTAGATAAAAAAAGAAATGCACAAAGTACATCCATGCACATGGTGGATATATAATTGCTTTCATATGTTTGAATGCAGTGAGGTTTTCCAAACAATTCTGATTGATCTTTGTTGTATGCATACCTTACAAATCATTGATTGAGCTAGAGCACATGTTCATTACTTAATAATAAACGCAAGTAATGTGTAGAACTATTGATCTTGTATTTTTTCAGGAAATGTTGCAGGCACCACGCCTATGCATTACAGTCTATCATGTCGTGACACCCCACAACGTCGTGATACTCCACCACGTCGTGACACTCCACCCAGTCGTGACACTCCACCAAGTCGTGACACTCCACCAAGTCGTGACACTCCACCAAGTCGTGACACTCCACCAGGTCGTGACACTCCACCCAGTCGTGACACTCCACCAAGTCGTGACACTCCACCACGTCGTGACACTCCACCGCGTCGTTCTTGACGTCGATTATGGATAAACTACTATGATTGTATGTTTACCGTTTAATAAATTAAATAATCTCAAAGTAATGTCGTGTTTCACAATCATTAGATTAGTGCCGTTAATGTTCACTTCAAAAAATGGCAACACATCTCGATTCGCTACGTAATTTCCGTTTCCGATCCGTTGACAAAAGCCGGATTAGCGGGAAAATGGCGAGATTATACTTACGTTCATTCAAATTTTTATATGGCTTCGTGATTCCTTTTATGTAATCTAATAATATTTCGTAGAATTTCATTCAGTGATTTGTTTTTGTAGGCAAGTGAGAAGAAAATTCACGTAATTACTACAAGTTTTTCGAAAAAGCACTTCCCGATGCTTGCCGAGTCCCTTATCCTATAAACTATGTTGATTATTACATTGATTAACATTTTTTATTTTACACACACATATTTTAATTATTATATAAATTATATTGATTATTATTATATTGAGATATAATTATAATATTATATAATATATAATAATATTATATTGATTATTCACTGACCTGGAAAGTGTCTGGTAAAAGGAAGAGAGGCCGCCCCAGAACAACTTGGCGTCGCTCGGTGGAGCAGGAGCTAGGGGTCTTGGGCATGACGTGGGAGGAGCTAGAACAGACTGCCCAAGACCGATACAAATGGAAAAATTTGATTCGAGCCCTACACCCCAGCAGAGGGTAATAGGAAAGCATGATGATGATGATGATATGTACCGTATTTACATTCATGAATATGCATGTAGCTAAAAGCGGTTATTTTAATATTTGTAATATATTGTATTAGACACTTCAATTTTATTTATTTGTGTAGATAAAGTATCTAAGTAATTAAAATTGCTCGAACCCTTAAATACCGTGTTTTTAATTGTCATTATACTGCAGTTTCATAATGTATATATTATTATTATTCACTTACAATTTTATATTACGGACATTTTATTTTACAAACCGATACCGGAGCGAAAACCGAAGAAAATATTCAAGTATAAATCTACAATTTAAAGTTGCCAAATGCATTTTGCTTTGGTTAGCCTTTTTTACTGCATATGGAGCTCACGGCTCACCTGGTTTTCAATGGCTACTGCTCCATAGACACCCAACAATGTAAATACCACCTATCTTGAGACAAGTCCCAGATTTATAGTACAAAAGCTTTCCCAAACCAAAATGTATTAATTACTACTTCACTCTATCACTGCGGCCTACAAATTGTAATAAAAGTTTTGAGGTAAACAAATTAATATGGGAGGTAGATGGAAGTTTTTCGAACATTTTGAAGAAATATAATAAATGCAGTTTTTCCAAAAAGTATTTTATTTAATCAAACCAGCATATAAACAATTCAAGACTTTTATAATAAGCAGTCCTATTCCAAAGTTATTCGTGCCTTTTTTACATTACAATTAAGAACAAACAATTACTGTTCCGAAAAGNCACTGACCTGGAAAGTGTCTGGTAAAAGGAAGAGAGGCCGCCCCAGAACAACTTGGCGTCGCTCGGTGGAGCAGGAGCTAGGGGTCTTGGGCATGACGTGGGAGGAGCTAGAACAGACTGCCCAAGACCGATACAAATGGAAAAATTTGATTCGAGCCCTACACCCCAGCAGAGGGTAATAGGAAAGCATGATGATGATGATGATTATTATATTGATCCTATTATAAATAGCCAAAGACAAAAAACAGTATAGATATGACAAATGTCTACTCTATTTGTTAACTAGTTTTCTCTTTTTTTATTTAGAAAGCAGTTAAGAGTTTACTGTTATATTAATAATAATAAAACCTTTTTTATAAGTTTTTTATTTTCAAATATCTTTATTTTTCGCAATAATGAATTAACACTTTTTTTAAACATATTATTATCGGCAACACGCTTCGTCAGATTATAGAAATAGAGTTATCAGCAACATGCTTCGTCAAAAAGTACAATACTTACTTTCAGCTGCAAGCGTCGTCATCGTCGTTTTTTATAAGTGTCTGTTTTTAAATGAAATAAAAGAGACAATGTATTATGTTATATCGTAATACAAAAAACCATACTTCAACAAAATTAAATATGTTTATCATTACGGTAAGCAAAGCTTGCTTTTTTAAAGATAACTAAAAAACTTGACAAATTTTAAATGGGACCTTAAGAGAAGCACTCAATTTCAAATAAATAAAAATTCAAGATATACATCAAACATCTAAAAGTACACGTAAAAATCAGTTGAACTGATAATCCTCGCCTTTTTTAAATTCGGTTAAAAATATTTCGAATTTTGGGTTGGCGATTGATTATTTATGGTCGAATTTTTATCATTGAATGAGCACTAGTATACCTAATCTATATATTAGTACGCGAAGCAAATATTTCATACCCCTTTTTACGAAAATTTCGCGGTCGGAGGAGTATGAAAGAACAATGGCAATTTTTTACCTGAATGTTTTAAAAGACGTCTTAGATTAAGACATAAACGAAACTTCATCATTTTATTTGCTCGTTTTTTATACGATGTTAGATTTACGTGGCAAAGCCACGAAAAAATGTTAATTTAATAAGCTTTTAATTCGATTTTTGTGTACTTCCGGTTTAATACATTTGTAAAGGATGGCATTTATACTATTGGCACAAAAAAGCAATATTTTTTGATAATGAATACTATTCATAAAGTATTTAAAATGAAAATAATAATATTAATTATCCTTTGTTACAATTAGTATGTACTTAATTAAATAACTAAATATGTAATAGATAGTAATGGCAGCACTGCAGATGACAATGATTTTAACAGTATGACAACTGACATAATGCGCATGACTATGCCCGTCCATAAGGCTCGTGAGTGGAAGAGAGAGCGAAATACTCGCTTCACCGCTCCAATTTTTTATGACCCAAACTGCACGGACAAAATAATTCTACTATAGAAAATTAGCTTTGCAAGCCTTCGTTTGTCGCAAATATGTGACTAATTCGTTTAAAATGTTAAAAGTACCTATCTCTGACGCACATTTTTACACATTTACAAAGAAGAAAGAACAAACTATATAATATGTATATGTACCTAGGTAGCTCTGCAATTGCTAAGGGTGCCTACTCGAGTACTATTAGAGGTGTATCCTTGGTTCATCTATGATAATGAAACTAAAAATGTTAATTAAACATATCGTTTACCTATTTTTTCAATTTGTTATAGTCCGTGCCTACAAAAATCAGAGACATCTATTTATTGATAGATAACCTCAAATTATAAAGTAAACACGTTGATATCTTTTTTTTGTGACTTTCTAATACCAAAAATATTTCTGATTAAGCTTAACCTATGTTATTCCTATCGTTTTAGTATTTTTTTGGTTCAAGACGCCTCAAATAGATATCAGGTAAAATGTTGTATAGAAAGCTGCCATTGTTCTTTCTCACACTTATAGAGAATATAGAGAAGGAGTGCAGATTATTAATATTTTTTTTAATTATGCATAAAAATATATTAAATCATTAAGAAAAAAATTACACACACTACTATGTGCTTGACACAGCGTTTATATATTATATTTATTTATTGACAAGTTTTTGTTTATTGTTTAAAGTGTGTGGTCAAATCGAGAATAGATTAATATTGTTTGTCTTTAATATTATTTGCCTATAAGGCTACTTTTGGCGTAATCTGTGATTATAGAACTATAATAGAACTATACCATATAACTTTGACAATAGAACCACAATAATATTCTAATTTATAATTTCAATTAACTATAGTCGAATTTCGACTACTGTGTGACCATTAATACTACTAAACCCTACTAAAACTAAAGTAGAAGTAAAACATATTGCGTATATCAAAATTATCAGCAGTGGTCGGGTTGATGGTGAGTTGATGTTTCCTTTTTTTTTCGGAAACGAAAACTCCTCGTATGAAAACTTCGAGACTTGGTTGTATAAGCTCTCCGAATACTTGGGTTCGTTCAAAGACCGGACGGCGTCAGAGAGACGCCTCACCCGGAAACGGCGGGTCGGATACGCTCACAAACTCTCACTCGAGACTCAATCGTGCGTGAACGTGTGTGAGCACTGTATTTAGTGTTTACACGATACTTGCGTACTGCGGAAAACGTATAAGTTTTTATTGGAAATTTGCCGGTTCGCTTTTATTTTGGCTATATATTTCACAACATGGTCGATTAAAAGTAAAATATGCCAACGTACCAACCAAATAAAATTAGGATATAGTTGAAAATGACGATCCTATAACATAAGCGACCGCTGCCTACCGTTGAGTGCTCTATACTAAGCTGTGAGGCCTTGAGGTCTACGATTTCGAAGGATGACAGGGAAGCGTCGGGCATTTGTCGAACATGACTGATTTATAACGAAACGAGAAATGTAATTCAGATGAGTAAATCATTTTTGTTTTCCATTCAAAGTAGGGTACCAAAAAACCGTCAAGGCATGTGAAATCAAAGGATATATTCATTCGAATAGATCGATTTTTTTATAAAAGCGATACTAGTTCTCAAGCGTCTCGTTAAATTATAGCGATATAATTGTAACTTTTTTACTGGTGGTAGGACCTCTTGTGAGTCCGCACGGGTAGGTGCCACCTCCCTGCCTATTTCAGCCGTGAAGCAGTAATGCGTTTCGGTTTGAAGGGTGGGGCAGCCGTTGTAACTATACTGAGACCTTAGAACTTATATCTCAAGGTGCGTGGCGCATTTACGTTGTAGATGTCTATGGGCTCCAGTTACCACTTAACACCAGGTGGGCTGTGAGCACGTCCACTCATCTAAGCAATAAAAAAAAAAAGAAACTTCGACCTGATAATTAAAAGTGGAAGGGAATTGTGATATAAACAATTCAATAATCACTGCGTCTGTAGATGAACATCGACAGAAATTAATAAAAAAATACACACACAGTACAATCCAGCCGTGTACGCGACAAGTATCTTCATGGAGAAAAAATGTGCCCCCTATTATAGAAAATATAGGGATCGGTAATGGGG